GGTTGGACTAGATGGCCTTGAAAGGTCCTTCAAACCCTTCAAACCCTTCAAACCCAAACTGTTCTATGATCCTATGACATCTCTCAAAAGTGGCAGTGAGCCGAGGGGTCCTAAGCCCTGAGTCCTATGCGCAACCTCAGCACCATCCACTCTGCTCCCAGCATCAGGGATGAGAACCAGGAGACTGGGCCAAATAAATTCTTCATTTGAGAAAATCAAGCAATCCAACTAAAATGCTTGATTTATGAATTCCCACAGGCATAAAATGTCAAAAAAGGGATATTTCTTTAGCCAGCCTGTGCTTAGGATTTTCATGGAAAAGCTACAAATATATTTTATTTATTTTTCTCTTCAGTTCAGATAGCAATTTGCCCATGTTTCCTTCTTTAACTGCATTAGCATGGGCTGCTATCTGGACTGCTATCTGGACTTCATTTTGTCACCCCCAGGAATGTCAGTTCAGTATGAACCATAGTAAGCAGTGCTGACAACAGCCCCAAACCAAACAAACCAGAATAATGTACTCATTGAGACACTACCTCTTTTAAACCACGGCAAAATCTTTCAAACACCCGTTTCATGTTGCCACCCTTCTCCATGGAGATCACCCTGGTGTGGTCCTCTTCATTAATCCAGATGAGAAATGTCTTGTCATTGTTATGCCTGGTTGAAGGAGGAAAAAAAAGCAGTGCCTTTAAAGAGACAAGCCTTGAAAAATAATTCTCAGTATCCTTAGTTTTATCACAGCTTTTCAGGGCTGTGGAGTGGTTAAATGCAGCAAAATAACATTGTTCTGTGGAGTTAGGGATTTGAGCTACTTTCACAGTTGGATCCCCCATGCCAGTGGCATTACGTGGGTTTCTCAGGCATAGCGAGAAGCGCAGTTTTTCTGATTACATCATGCTGCTGCAGTGCTGAGCGAGGAAAAATGTGTTGCCCTCTAGCATGAGCACAGCTGGGAGGTGCAGCAAAGGGAGAAGCCAAGCTCTGCATCCTCTGTCACCAGGGACGGTTTTTATTGTTCTTAGAAATTTGTGCAGTTAGGAAAAAAACCTAACATTTACATGCTGCTGGGGGGCCAAGCAATATGTCCTTACTTAATTGTATTCTCCCTTAAATCAAATCCCAGTGCCCTCTGTATCGCTTGGTGGCACTGGATTGCCACATCAGTCAAGTTACGTGTCCGAGGACAGGAGAGGGACGTTGCTTCCAGGCAGCACATTAGTGATGCTGGCTTGTCAGTCAAGATAAAAATGCCTGAAGATACCCACTCTTTCTTCAAACAAATCAGTTGTGCCTAGATTTAATAAGTGCTGGGTCAAACCTGAGGTCAATTTTCCTGGCTTTTTCTCCACTTTCTCTGCCTTCTACTACTGCCTTTCTACAGCATGTGGAAGTGATGGATCAGACTCATTCGTACAAACAGTGGAATATTATCAGGTTTGAAACACAAGGAATTTGAAAGCTTAAGGTCACTGAGAGTCTGACTTTCAGCTGGTCTTTTATTGCATCTCCTTATTTTGCACTTGGAGTTTGCCAATGCAACACTGAGCGGGTGTAAATGTCCTGTGCCCTGACATTATGGTCACCCGAGGTCCAGTTACCTCGTCTTCAGTCACGTAGAAATGTTCAGGGGAGGGTTTTCCAAAGTCTGAGGTTGGCTTCACTCAGCTCCCCCTTTAATTAACTAAGTCTCCCCATTGCTTTAAGGAACCCAAAGGGAGGCCACTTTGAGTGTGGTTGAACTGTGCCATTGCTGCCAGTGAGGTTGGTGGGAATAGTCCTGCAGCCCATAACAAGGACAGGATCACAATCTTTGTAAGAAAAATAATTTCCAGAACATGTACTCTTTTTGACAACAATTTCTTGCAAGAGAAAGGCAGGTTTTCCAAATGTTGCTTACTGAAATACTTTCTAATCATACTAGTTTTTTTCCAGATTGCCTGATATTTCACATGTAAAACAGCCAAAAACCAACTCTGTTTTATTCAGGAGATCCCTGGATACTAATTGTATTGTTGGTACTTCTGTCTGTTTGTAGAGACAACTACAGCTTTATCCTTCTTCTCCACCTCAGATTTAGATGGGGACCAGGGAACTAATCCAAAGCTTGTTGAAATTAAAAAATTCTCACAGATTTCCAGCAGGTCATCAGGTTTCGTGGGTGATCAGGTTTCACAGCTCCTGCTCCCCTACAGAAATCAGGTTTAGCTCCCCACAGTAACACTGGCTGTGCTTCTGAACATTAGCCAGTATTGTCAGACGCCGCTTGGAGAAGAGTTGGGTTTTTTTCTGCATAAAATCCCATCCTCTCTGAAAGTCCTAAACCTGCCTAGGGCAAGGAGATAGCCTAGGTGATTCCTCAGAATCATTTTTAGTTTAGTTTTTCAGAATTAAAGCTTCTGTAATGCCTAGAAGTGTACCATGATGGCTGCAGATGCTATGCACTGCACGGCTGCCCCCATCCTCTGCTAGCAGGCGTGTGTGCTGATCTCGGAGGTATTACCCTTTCCTCTCCACAGAAAATATTGTGTTTGGGCGCAAAATATGTCAAGTGTGTCCTGAAAGTAGAAGAAGACCTAGAACAAAATAGGAAATTCAACTTCTGTATCTCCTTTTTGTTCAGTTCATTTGGAAAGAAAGCGTTACTTTCAGCTCTGGGAATTAAAATAACACTTTGTCTCTTGACTGTGGGCAGCGGGACAGGAATTTGCAGTGCCGTGTCCTGCAGCTGTATGGCCGGTGGTTCCTAGCTGACAGCATGGCTGCAGTCTGGTGTTAGAGCTGCTTTTGGAACCTCAGCTCTGCTGACTGTGTGGTGACTCACGGGCTCTTTCCCAAATGATATTTTTATCTATATAAAGAAAAAATGGAAATAAAAACCCAAAGAAGGAGCCATGCCTATGATGCTGTGTTGTGTGGCTGATATTATTGATGGTTTCCTGAATATAAAGGTCTTACCCATTCTGTTGTTCATTACTTGTTTGGTTGGTGTTCGTTTTTTTTTTAAGCAAGAAAACTTTTTTTTAAAAGCAAACTGAACATGCTGTGAGTATGGGGACAGAGTGGCTGCAAGGTTACGACAAGCAAGGAGATTTGTAACACAATCTTTAAAACACAACAGAGGCTTCTGCATGTCATGCAACGTACCAGATTCCTCTGGCATCTGGCCAGTCACGTGCCATCCCAGCACATGTTAGCAAAGGAGACACTGGCTTATCAAAGAGAAAATGATCCTGGACACCGAAACGGGGAGAGAGAAAGAGAGAGAGGAAAAAAAAACAAAATTCAAGTTTATTCAAGGAAGCAGTATAATGCTGTCTAATATATTTTACATGAAGGCAATCAATGTACACGTAAATCACACAGTACAGCTTGTGAATCTGGTTCCTTCTGAAAACTAAAAGCACTTTACCCAGGTGATTTTCTTGAATCTTGCAGATTCTCACTGACATTGGTAATACGACCATGTTGTGCCAAAAATATTTTTCAAATGTAGGGAGGAATAGGAGGTGGGGACCTAATACCACTTAATACCACCAGAGATGTTTTCTGCATACAGACCTATTTCAGGGTAGGAGAAGGCAATGAGTTCTTAAAGATTGAAAAAAATTTTTAAATGCTAGTTCTGAAAAGATATTTCTCCAGCACAGAGATTTAGCAAATTATTCTGAGCATGAAGTCAAGGTAGGAATTAAATCAGTGCTAAGCTTGACCTTTCAGAATGCCAGAGTTGTTCTGTTCCTTAACAGAGATGCTATTTTGATTTAATAAATGTAGTACTTGCTGTGCCACCAACTTGCCACATTCCAGAGAATTTAGATTTTTTTTTAAACTAAGCTGTTTTTTTCCCAAAGCAAATAAGTATTTGATTTTTGTGTGTGTGCTGAAAAATTGTTGTTCTTAATTCCTCAAACACTACTGTATCAAATGTGTGGTTTGGTTTTTTTTTGGGGGGGGGTTGTTCTGTTGTTGTTTTTTTTAAATCTAGGGTTTAATTAAGAATAGCGAGGCAAGCCATCCAGAATTAATATGACATGGTAGACAAGTTGATATGCTTTACTTCTTTTTCACCTTAGTGGAGAATTTTATGTTTTCATGTGATGGACATGATGCAGTCAGAACCTCAACCATGGAGAAAGAAAACGTACAGAGTTCTCTTTGCTCATCACAGCGACACATTTCCTTCCTCAGCTTGCTCCACTTGACGCTTTCACTTGACAGAAAAATTCCCCTTTTTGCAAGAAACCAGCTGATCACTGTTTCCCTTATGTGCATATGGGCCAAATCTGCAAAGTACCAAATGCCTTCTCTGCTGAATGCCATTCAGCTGGCACTGATTTGGTCTTACCAAGATCAAATGGTGCTTATTAAAGGCTGGTGGAAAGCCTGATACCACAGAGGTTCAAGGTCCTAAAGTACTGGAGGAGGTAAGCAATGGTATCAGTTAAAGATGGAATCTGAGGTTACAACATTTGGTGCCCTGATTTCTATAAATTTGTGTTACCATAAAAACAAACAAAACACAGTAAAATGCTGAATCAGTGAAGCCTATTCCACTTCCCAAAGGACTTAGCCTTAAACCATGAAGGAATTATATTCTCCACACTCCTATTTTGACCTCTGCTTTCTGAGGAGCTCTCTTCTGCTGAAAAAGGCAATGAAATAAAACCTACAATAGGTCATCAACAAGTAAACATATTACCAAGGGCATTCAATTACAAAAGTTACTGACCTTACATAAATTCTTAACTCCTGGTTAATGCAGACTGTGACACCTAGTTCCAGGGTTATAAATAGTTATGTTACTTCATCAGCTCCCTTTTGGTTGATGTTATGGATTAATGTGACATGAATAATAGCTAACAGGGTACAGCCATTCCTTTGGATATTTAACATGCACATTCAAGGTTTGTTTGACATGTCACATGCTGTGACAAAATTCATGATGAAAATCCTTGTGTTTCCATCTGTGTGACAATGAAAATTCTTGTTATGGGCCTGATCCTTCAAGTCCTTAAACACAGTTACAGCACTGGGAAGAGGTCACCTGGGTGCAGTTGGCTATAGCCATTTTGAGGAAATGAGAATTAGTGTAGTTTTGACATAAAGAAATTACAGCCAAAACCTCCCACCCCAACAGTCTAAAATACAGATAATACGTGATGCATATCTCAATGTAATATTTTTAGTTAGAATGGTTATTAATATAGAAAATGTCAATCTTTGCTCAAGGAAATGACCAAGAAAAAATCCTGAATTTGCTTTGTTATTTGTCCAGAGAGGTGGCAGCAGCCATGTGTCTTTGATTTGACACAGATCTTGCCATCTGGAATATAACTCCACATTTCGGACCCGCACAGTTATCTACTTAGCCACAAATATAAACCCTGGATGATTTGCCATTACATTAAAAATATTGACAGATCATTAACTACTGCGTTAATGCTGTGATTATCCTACTTTGCTGCACAGGAAAGCAGGTACCCCAAAGAAGGACGAAGATCAAGATAAACAAGAGTAAATGAGGGTGGTATCAGCACTGGTGCTATACTTACATCAATAAGCTGCTGCTGATCCCTCTCGGACATATTGGTCAAGCTGTAGTACTTTCCAGAGAGGTCTCCTTTCAGCCCAGCGAGCGCGGTGACCACAACATTCTCCACCTCTCTCCGCTCTGCCCTAGTGCAGGCAGGAGGAAGGCTGAGGCCCCGGATGCTGCGGCCGGTCCGCACCCGTGATGAGAGGACGTAGCGCTCATCAAACTGACCATGGGTGATCTGAAGGAGAATGTTTCATTAGTTCACACACAGTCCCCTGTGTTGTACTCCACCTTAAAAAGAAAACAAATCCCATGGTACAGAAAGAGGGTCCTTCTGCTGAGGCATGATAACCTCTCCATGACATCACAAATACTCAGGATATCAGAAGCCCCTCAGAGTTTCAGGCACCAGGAGGGTTTTTTAGAAACAATTTTCTTCGGCTGAATGGATGTGGCAGAGTAACCAGCTAGTCCTTCGTGGTCCCAAAACATGAAGCAATCTGCATGGCTTTTGGAAACATGGGTCTGGGCAGAGGCAGGGGGCCAGGTACAGAAGGTCCTTTGAAAGAAGAAAGCTCAAGAAGATGCTAAACCACAGTGTAGTTGAACTATGAAGGAAATATTAAGCAGCAAGGTAAGGTTTGATCATGTGTATGTGGGTGTACTGGAGTAAACTCCTGCTTTCGTTCCAACCCTTAGAAACTTATCTGTAAGCTCATGAGGAGACCCACAGTGCTAAGTGAGACTGTGGCGCAAATGCTTAGTACAGTTGTGACTCATCCTCCTGCTAGGAACAAGGTAGAGATGCAAATGTCTTGCTGTTAGGGCCATGAGTGCATCCCACTTTCCTTAACTCTAAAATTACGATCTTTGGATTTGGATCAGGAAAAAGAAAAGTACTATTACATACAATATCGTCACTGTAAGGAACAGCCCAGAGCCTTTATTGTCTCATTATTTTATTTCAATCCTACCTTGGATGCATCCAGATCCGTGTGGTGCTTCATTGTCCGTGGATCATAGCCATTATGTCTTGCTTTAATGACAGGGTCAAAAATCTCAGCAAACACCTAGAGAGTCAAGAGAATCTAGGGAGAGTCTGCAGCATCATAGAAACTCCTAAATGCACCAGCTTCAGCCACAGAAGTCGTCTGCTGGTGCAGGTTTTGGGTGACAGACATAAAGGGGGCTTTGCAAATACAGACAGGGGTAAATATGAAAAGCGGGTGTGCTTTTGACCTACACAGTGCTCTGCAGCATTTACTCATCTTCACAACAAAAAGAAGGTGCAATTGCATCTTAAGTTACAAGCTTAGTCTGGTTACCACAGACAGGTACTGGATGTGGTGGCAACCAGATTAGGTTTCAGGATGGATTACCAACCAGAACACACATGCAGAGTCCCCTGGCAGCTTGCTTCTTGTTTTTAGGTCATGCAGAAATACCCTGTGTCTTCACTGCCATGGGATGCTAGTCCTCATTAGAGCCACTTGGCTCAGGTGTGTCAACGCCGATCACAACTACACCTTTATGCAGATGAGAGGCAGTGGCACATCTAAATGAGTAAACCAAATGACAGGGGATGATCGTCCAGAATGCCAGATGTCCCAGTCCATCCTCAGCAGCCCAGCATTTTGGACATTGTTAGGAGACTGTACAGTAATAGGTCTGTATAATAATTAGGCCTTCAGTCTACCATACAATCTGACATTGTATGGTAGACTGAAGGAAGCAGATAAGAGAGGTCAATAAAAATAAGGATTTTCCTCTCCTCTTCTCATTCCAGAGTTAAATAAACCTGTCCATCCTAATGCTGTCTGTCTTCAGCTTTTGTCATGATCCAAAAGCTGTGGCTTAATGATGTCTGGCACTTCCCACAAGACATTATTGTTTCACTTCTGCCTTTGCTATTCCACAATGTAATTTCCACATTACCTTTATTTTGTGTGTCTCAGGGTTGCTTTGCCAGAAACTAAGTTTAGTTGTAGGAAGGAGGGCAGCTGCTGGAGGCAGGTAGCAGCTGCTCCCAAGCAGGTACATTTTATTAACTTCAGTTGCAGCAGAGAGGGCACTTGTAGTAACGCCTCATGTTCTTGCATTTCCTAATGTGGAAGAGTAGGGAAAACACCATCTTTATGTACATGGCCTGCCCCTTATGTACTTTCTGGGATACAGTTTATCTTGGGAGCGCATACCCTACCGGGAATCTGTCTTCATCTAAGGAGCTCTTGTGAACAATACCATGAAAACTGAACCAAATACAACATTACTGTGAAAAAGTCTTACCTCGTAGGATTCTTCATCACCTGCGACCATGCCCACAGTTTTAATGAAAGGATGGCCAGGATTGTCAACCCCGGTTTGGATGCACTGGTCCAGGGTGTAGCCGTTGGGAGTCATCTTGTCCCTTAGCTTGGAGTAAATGGCGGGTGTGAGGCACTCAGCCATGCAGTTGTTATGTTTACGGAGATCAGGATAGTCTGCACTGAAGAGAAGAAGAATCCCAAGCAATTAATGTGGCACCTTTGAAGTGTAATCCTTGCTAGTTTATGGAGCTATTAAAGGGATCATGAGATACAGAGTACACAGCACGGTTTAAAAGTATAATTAGCTCTTGGTTTATATGTTGCATTGAATTTTAGGAAGGGAGGAGGGTTCAGGTCACTGAAAGTACCACATGTTGCACACCAACAGGAAACTGCAGCTTTCTGCTACTCAGGGCCATCAGGAAAATGAATCCCAATGAGCTCTGAAAGTGTACTAAGCCCCATTAAATCTCTGCTGAGACACTCTTACTCAGAAGAAAAAGAGCTCTAATGTTGTTTTGTTCAAGTAGGAAGCGAATTATGTTTAGCTGAAGTTCTTTGTAATTCGGAGCCCAGGTGCTCTCACTCCAATGGACATTAGTGGGACTGTCTGATCTATGTCAGCTGGGAAGCTCATTCTTCTACGATATCTGGGTTTGCTTTAATGGCATTATTATTTATAGAAAGCTGCATGGTGTACTAAGACAAGGAAAATAAAGATGTTATACTTTAGCAAGGCATTTTTGCAACTGAGTCAGACCACATCTACCTTGTACTGATGACTGCTTTATGCACAACTCCGTTATTTTTAGAAGAATAAATTTTAAATAGGATAATATTCACTACTTTAAAAAAAAAATCTGTCAGAGCCTGATCCGTGTTGTTTTTCGGAAGTATGGCCAGCAAAGTCAACCTACAGAGAAGAAGGTCTCTAATGAGTTTCTAATCATCAGCCGGACAGTTTGTATTAGGAGTATTGTATTGTAAGAATTAGGAGTATTTCAAGTACAGCAGTTACATGGGAGATTTCTTTACTACTTGCATAATGACAGTATTTTCACATTTCCTTATGGTAGAGTCCATACAATCAGCCAGTCCCATAGGTTGAGCTGCAAAGCATTCAATAGCTGATGAAATAATGGACAAATATAGCACTCTGCCTAAAATTTGAAACATTTCTTAGGCTTGTCCTTGTTCGGCAATGTTTTTTTTGTGTTGATACTATCTCACATTTCTGCTTTCTGGTCTTGAAGACCATTGTTGGTGCTACCTAAAACTGGGGGTGTTAACAAAGGGTGCTGTTTTTCAGGTCACACAGCCCATGGACAAACACACAGACAGCGTGGCCGCATGAGGACTCTTCAGCTTTGATAGGGATCGTTTTCTTCCAAAGACTTAAAAGTTGTTCCTAGCCCAGTTAACAGGGTGCTGTGCTCAGCCGGCTGCTTAACCCCAAGTCCTTACCTTGGAGGGAAGAGTTTCCGTTTTTCCTGAACAGCAGCCTTCACATTTTGCTGGTTGAGGAGGTACCCGGTGGTTAGCACCCCTGTGCCTGCGGCTGCAAAGAGTGCAGTGGTTGCACGGCCAGCCAGGAGACGACAGAAGGTGCTAGCCATTCCTCTCGGAGGATAAGATGTCTGGAAGAGAAGACAGCCCAGTGTCAACCCAGAAGTCCTCATACCGTGCGAATTACAAGTAAACCCTCACTTTTAATGATAGCCCTGTAAAAGAAGGTATTTGTATTTATCATTGGTTTGCACTTAGATAGCATGTTCAGAAAAATGGTTAGTATGTACATGTATTGTTTCTATACCTGTACCTGAGGTAGAGTTGGAAATACGTTGATGTTTTTTGGTGCTGTATTGAGCACACAATTCTATACCCAACACCTGAATGTTTTAATTGTTTTAATGACTTACGGCCATAATTGAATCCTTTAGCTTGCTTTGTAGCAACAACACATTACACAGAGACAACTTTTCAGTGGCCAAAAAATCTACAGTATGATAGTTATATGTGAGAGTATGTGGCATTAGCTAGGTTCTTCCTTTCATAACTATCACCTACAGAAACTCTTGTGCCTTTTCCATGGTAGCTTGAACTGCTAAGCACTTTGGGTTTTTCTTCCATGTGAATGAAATTGGGGTAGGCTTGAACTTATCATCCGGCTCATGCCACGGGAAGGGGGATATGCTAGGGACCTAAAAATACTCAGTGGCATGGGAAGTGGGAATAGAGGTCAACTCTTCTCTGCTTTTTCTAATATATGAATACACTCCATCAAATGGAGCTAGTGGGAGAAAACACCAAAACAAAGGTAGACCAGTGGTCATAGACGTATAAAAAACCTTGTTGAAGGTGCAGTAAGTGTGCATGGCTTCAGTGAGAGACTGGACAAGCATGTAGAAGAGAGATTAATTGTGGGCTTTAAGCAAATAAAAGAAACAGGCTAGCAAGAAAGACATGGATCTGTTGGAGCAGGCCACAAGAATGGTTGCGGGACTGGAACAGCTCTCCTATGGAGAAAGGCTGAGAGAGTTGGGGCTGTTCAGCCTGGAGAAGAGAGGCTCTGAGGAGGCCTTCCAGTATATGAAGGGGGCTTATAAGAAAGAGAGAGACTTTTTACCAACACTTGTATTTTTATCAGGGTTTTACCAGGGTAACAGTTTTAAACTGGAAAGGGATAGATTTAGATTGGATATAAGGAATAAATTTTTTACAATGAGGGTGGTGAGACAGTGGAACAGGTTGCCCAGAAAGTTGTGCATGCCCCATCACTGGAAGTGTTCAAGGTCAGGTTGAATGGGGCTCTGAGCAACCCTCATCTAGTTGATGTTCCAGCCCATGGCAGTATTGTTGGAATAAATGACCTTTAAATGTCCCTTCCAGCCCAAACCATTCTATGAATCTGGGATTCTATGACAATTTCCTCATCTGAAATTTGTATGCCCTATTAATTTTTTCCAGCAGCATATTCATAGTGTAGCTATGGGCTTGGGATTGTGTCTGGAGCTCAGGAGATCTATAAGTCTAGCAGAGAAAATGCTATGTTCTGTGAAAGTCTGATGAAGACAGTGCACATTTTTTCTTCAAAAAATCAGAATTTGACTCGTATTGCTGGTGACTGTGAGTTCCTCAGGAAGATATAACTCCTGTTTAAATAAAGGACACAATTTGTGTCATTGACAGAAACTTATTCTTAAAAATGGGCTCTGCTAAATCATTTTTGGGAAATGGGCATGTAAGAGTTACAAGAAAACATGAACTTTCCCCCAGGATATGCTGCTTCAGTTGTTTTTTCAAAGTTTTAAAAAATGTAATTGTTTATGTAATCTCTTCACCTTCTTTTGGAGGTTAAACTAAGCCCTTCAAAGCAATTGGTTTAATTTTCAGTGAATGAAGTGTTCCAATGTCCAATAATTTTCATGTAGATCTGGTTTAGTTAGTCCCATACCCTAATTCTTTGCCTTTTCCACTCCTGTCTAAAGACAAATGCAATGTCACATCTATATCTTCTCACTTGGTAAAAAGATCTTCTCATCTGCCTACATGGTTTTCTGTTGCAAAGCAGTATCTTCTTTGTACTTTAGTGACGTATGTGAGATGAAAAACACAGGTGTGTTTCAAGTTTGGGAGTCATTTGTTTCATGTCCTGTATCTTGTTTAAGCAATTTTATACCTGAGTGTTATTCTTCTGTCTCCCCCATGACTTCAATATGCAATATACTTTTATCTAGCTTTCCTTCCAGGGAAGGGTGCTGACTGATTGACAGAAATTTCAGTATTTTTTCACTGAAGGAATTTCCTTAAAAAAGAAATGGGGAGAGACCACACGGGGAAAGGATTTTTTTCCCCCATTAGGAATACATGCCATTTCCTCAGCTATTCCGAGTCCTCAAGAATTAGTTGCACAGCAGTAGAGTATAATGAAATAATGTGCTGACATAAAGGCTGGGACAGGAGGCAGATCATCAACTATAGCCTTATCTTATCTCTGCACGTGGCTTCCCTCCATGTTTAGGTGAGTTGCAGGACAGGCTCTCATGACTGCAACAGGATTTCTCCCTCCCAAAATGCAGTGGGAGAATGTTTTACTGTAAATCAAAAGCACGTATGAGGTTTGTGATGGAGGTTTTTGTGCTGCTTTCTTTTCTGTGTATTTAGCAGATGGTTCTTGTGCCTTTTCACAGTAGAGCATCCCCATCCTACACTCTGAAAATATTTGCTTATGACTAATCTGCACAGAACTATTATTGTTATACCAAAGTGTCTGAGAAACAATACATGTATTTTCATAGCAGTTCTATGTATTTATAGTTCTGTTTCACAGATGCCATCTTTATTGCAAGGAGCTGGCTGGCAGTCAAAATCCTATCCTGAAACCAAGAAGCTGTATCAAAATCCCCTTGCAGACAGTGACATTATGACTTCAACGACCCCAGGCACTCATCAGCATCTCCACCAGCCTGGATTTTTTGGGAGCTTCTAAATCCTCTGTCACTTTAAGGGACAAATCTGGTCCGTACATCTAATTAATTTAGAGGAGTTGTGTGCAGGATATATTTGCAAAGAAGTGTGAGGCACAACAGTATAACAATAATTCTGCAGAAATAATGAGAACAGTGCACCTGTTGACTACACTGTGTACCGCAGCTGAACAGGTAAAGCTAGCAAGACAGGTCATTATATTTAGCCATGTCACGTATCTGCTGGCAAGGCTGCACTGCGGTGGTTGCTGTTCTCACATAACCTCCATCCCTTGTGCTAATGCAATGTGACGGGCAAGTCCCATCCTTTGTGACAGCAGCTATTGATTGACTGGCTGCGTATTTTTCTACCTTCGAGCCTTTTCCTATGATCAAGGATGTGGCCTGGGACTGGAAGGTAAGCACAGCGTGCTCTTCGCACTTGGCATTAATTTGTTCTGGAGGAGCTGAGAAGTACACGGGAGCTCCGTGAGGGTGAAGGATGCTAGAAGCTGCTCTCTGTGATTTCTTTGGGAGACAAACTGTGCTTGCTGAAGCTGATAAAAGCTAAATGTTGTTTTGCTACTGACGCAGTGCTTCTTTTATCCTTCACTTTGCCTTTGCAACAGCTATTGGATAAGAGAGCGCCTGATCCTGAGAGCAGCTCAGCAGAGCAAACCTTCTGCAAAACATGGTGCGCAAACAAGACCCTGGGAGGCTGCGCGTAGCTTGGCGTCCTTGACTTTCAGGCTGAACTAGACTGTGTGCCTGAGGTACAGGGTTGTAACAGAAATCACAGCCCATGAACAGAAAGAGAAATAAACTGCTTGGAAAAAGCAATAGATGAACCTGCGGGAAAAGGAACCAGTTTGAAAAGGCAAAGAGACTTCCTTGTGGAAGGCTTTGTGCCATGGCTGATCTGGGAAATACAGAGAGGTTGTACCTTTCTTCAGCTCTCCTCTGAAGAAAAGCTGCGAGAGTTGGGGGTGTTCAGCCTGGAGCAGAGAAGGCTCCGGGGAGACCTTACTGCAGCCTGACAGTGCTTAAAGGGGGCTTATAAGAAAGATGGGGAGAGACTTGTTAGCAGGGCCTGTTGCGATAGGACAGGGGGTAATGGTTTTAAACTAAAAGAGGGCAGATTCAGACTAGGTCTAAGGAATAAATTTTTCACAATGAGACTGGTGAACCCCTGGCCCAGGTTGCCCAGAGAGGTGGTAGATGCCCCATCCCTGGGAACATCCCAGGTCAGGCTGGACGGGGCTCTGAGCAACCTGCTCTGGTTGGGGATGTCCCTACTCACTGCAGGGGGGTTGGACTAGATGGCCTTGAAAGGTTCTTTCCCTCCCAAACTATTCTGTGATTTTATGATTCTATTCCGCTGAATGAATATGAGTACCCCCTTCCCACTCTTCTTTATGCTTGTCTTTGACTGGATGTGCAATGCTGAGCTGTAATTCCTAAAGCAGACCCTCTCAGCATGGACGGTTTCACTGTCCCCTCCTCCCTTGTTCAGGCAGCATCAGCGGTTTTCTCACCCTTTCAGGGTCTGGTACGTTAAACGGGCCTATACCTTTGGGACAGCATGACTGACTTTTGGACATCTGATCAAAGCAGATTTCATGCCTATGAAATTGTTTTCCTTTTTGAGTTCTAATAAAATCTGGTAACACAAGTATTTTTCTCCTTGGCAACGCTCTCTTCCATTGTGGTTGCATGCCTTGTCCCCCAGGACATTCTTGCTTTGTTGGATCAGAGAAAAGTTTTCCCGTACCCTGAGGCAGGCTCTACTTTACCTGACAGATGCTTCTCTAACAGCTCTTAAAAGCCTCCAATACTGGAGATGCCACAGCCTGCGCAGGTTAACTACCTAAAAAAAATAAATCAGAGTAAGATAGGCTCTTTTTTTCTCAAAAAAAAAAAACAACAAAAAACAGTAATGTCTAACTACACGTCTTGTTACAATTGAAGCCCAGCATTCCTCATCCTAACATTTTCTTCCCCAAACTTTGCAGTTCTGTAAACAGAAGTTCAGTTTCTGTCTTTACCAGTAAGTGCCTCAGCTTTTTAAACCCAGTCACTCCTGCAGAAAAGGTGACTCTGCTGAGAAGGTGACCTGACAAGCATCAATCATAGCATCACGTGGCTGCTGCCTGCAGGAACTGGGAGACGACAGCTGGCCTGATCTTCTGCTCCTTGGGTAGGACCTTCTGACTGCAGCATGGCATTGCCATCGCAGGGACCATCATTTGTGACTGTCAAATGCAAAGGGTCTACGGGAACACGAAAGTTAGAATTTCTTATGAGAAGAAAAACATCATCCGGACTGCTGTGGAAAGGTGACTGTAATCCTTTTTATCAAAGTGGTGTAACTCCTAATTCAATAAACACTTCTTGCCACAAGGGTGGGCTATAGTTCTGAATATAAATGCATATAATACTGCAGCACAAACTGAGTCCATGTTAAGCCTTGCACAGGTAGTCCATATACAATCAAAATAGCACAAATGGACTTGCACAAAAACCTGGTGCACAAGTTCAGCAAACAAAGTTTTTGCCTAACGAGGGTACATAATGAACAAGACACTCCCATGACAGGAAGCAAGACCATTTTGTTTTGTTGGTGTTTTTTTTTTTTCCCTCTAAAAATAACATGATTTCTAAGTAACGTATTGCTTCAAAACAAACATTTCAAAAGGAGTCTGAATGGCATGGTCTCAAACCAAAGAAAATTCTCATCAAGGCTATTTGTCAAATCTGACCTCAAATCATTAACAGATTCATCTGATTTCCCAGAGAAAATGTCAACTTGCCCTAACAATAAGTTTGCACCATCACCACCTCTGTGGATTCAGAGAAATGTAATTATCTCAGCCAAAGGTGTTGTTAAAGACGTAAGGTTTTTCTAAGAACACTTTACCAGAAATACCATGCTGTGATTGAGGTTTCACTGCAGACTGTCATTAGGCCTCCACTGTAAGGATTTCACTTTCATCAGGGAAATTTAACCACTGCGCAGCCCTAAAAAATGAAAGCGCACACTTTTCTTTTGTAGGAGTTTCCTAAGGGTCTTCCTTTGTGCTCATGATGATAGAATATCCATTTTCTTGTAGACGCCTATAGTGCTACTGTAGTACAGCTGGGGAAGGGAAAGAATAATTTTTCAAGGTCGGAAGAAATTTTGTGATTATCAGTTTTAACCCTTGAAAAGGAATTGAGCACTTGCCTGTGCTGATCAGGTGTGCTGGAAGGAAAATACCTGCATTCAAAACTATCTAGAGAGAGTATGGCCTGGAGAAGATAAAGGAGTTGCAAAGGTTAATCAACCTGAGTTAAAAAAATAAATAAAACTCTTATCTTATTTTCAGCCTGCATTTGTTTGTCTTCAGTTTGAATCACTGGTCTTTGTTACTATTTTTATCGTTTTTTTGGTAGAAATTTCTACTTACTATTTGTTCCACATGTAGCTATTTAATAACTAGTTCTTTTTTATGTCTCTCCATCAGTTTTTATCATATTTTCAAATTTATTAATCACTCTTTGGCTCTACCCTGAACTCTTTCCATTTTGTTTCATCCTCAGCATCTTCCTGATACCAGAACAGTCCTTTCATCCCAGTAATGGTTGTACCAGGTCTCCAGCGTGGAAGCAGCAAAGCCTCTCTCTACTAAAAAGCTTATGCATCTGGAGGTCATAACAGCCCCTTGGGAACACTCGCAGTGCACGCCGTGGTCATTGCCTGCCAAGTGCTGGCCCCTTTTGGGAGCCACACAGCTCCTTGATGGGGGGTGATGACTGCAGTCCTCAGCATGCCCTGGGGATCTTCCTGATCGGAGCAGTCAGGGAACTATATCTGATACAGACATAGACACACTTCCGAGTCAGTTTATGTGATGGGGTTGTCTGCAGTAGCTGGAACCTCGTTAACTTAAGTCTCTGTCAGTCCCATGAATTTTTTTGCTATTACTTTCCCTTTCCCTTTAAACTGGAATGCTTCCTAATCAGCAGAGGAGTTTTCTCCTCTGTTGTGGGATTCTGAATATACTGATAAAATATTCTTAAATGGTTCCCAATTATCATTTATGGTTTTCTACTTAAAATTTTCTCTCTGTTAAGTGGTTTGTAACTGTCCTGACCTTGTGAAAGTTTCAAGTTCTTTCAATGCACCACAAGCTACAAGTGAATTTGGACTTTATTTTATTAACTCTTAAGAAAGAATTAGCTGCATCTCAACCTGCACTGATTTTTAGTTCAGTGCACGCCTCTTCTTCAGCCGTCCAAACGAGGTCTGACTTGCATGGCATTGGACACAATGTGCTTTCTGAGGTATAAAACTTAATAATTTTATTTTATAGATTTTAACAGGATTCTTAAGCTTCAAGGCATGAGACCTCAAGCATGCGCCAGTCAGATAATACTCTGATAGTAATAAGTGATAAGTAATAATTTGTTTTTCCAAAATGTAATGGATAGGCACATTAAGAGTCAGAACAGCTTCTTCATTACTAATTTCATGGCATAGGGACTCAGCATATTGTGTAAGAAATACTCAGAGATGTGATCGGAACTGAACTGTTTCAGTGGAAGTCTCTGATGAAGCTGGAGCACCATATGTATTCTGCATGCAGACCAGCAGAAGATGACACATCAGGAGACACGGGAGTCCGAAGCAAATAAAGGAGAACTGGTATTTTGCAGTGGGGAAACACAAATCGGAGCACGAGCTCAAGTCCACAGACTAGGACAGGACTGAGCTTGTTGCAGCCTGATGGAAAGAAGAGCAGGCAGGGAATATCAGGGGGAGAAGAGCACGAGCTTCTCAAATCCATTAGCAGATGGCAGAAGTAGGAAAAACGGAGCCCACGAGCGCTGAGGTGCCAGCCTGTGCTGTAACTGGGAAGGTGCCCCACTTCTGCTGCACATGGCATCACTGTCGGATTTGGCTCACCATCTCCCTAACGTGAGGGCGAAGGTTGCTGGCTCACCTGCAATGGTCCTATTCAAGTCATTTATCTCCTGCTTTTCCTTAGCACGGTCAGGGCTGATCTGCTCTACCGTCGCCCAGCACTTACAACGTATCTGCCTTCCTCTCCTTTGCAGGTAGCACAGTCTTCAGCAGCGCCCACAACTGGGCATCCTTTAACTGATGAAGGTGGAGGGTAAGGTGTATGTGTCTCAGCTGTTATCCAGCATCAGGTGGATTTTCTGCAGGTAAAGGGGCAGGGAAGGTTTTGGTTTTTTCCTTATTAGTCAAGTGTGCTGGAAGACACTTTGGAGGTGCCTGGTATTTGTATCTAACAATTTTACAAAATGCTTGGCCAACTTGACTTGCACACTCTGCCCTTATTATGTCATTCTGCTCATACTCTGGATACTGGCTTTGCTTCATGGTAACTAGTTAAGATGTCTTTTGTACGCCTCCGGGATTACACATGCCCTTTGGCCTGAGGCCAGGGCATGGAGCACAGCTCCGTAGCTCTGCGAGTGGAATTTGTCACTGGCAACAAGTCCTTTAGAAGTTTTATTTCCAAGGTCATTTATACTTGCACTATCATTTGGAGAAAGCAAAAATCCCATTGTACAGGAGAGAAGGAACACAGAGCAACTGGCTCGGGAACAGCTGCTGTGTATCCCCCGTGCACCAACTTCCCTCCTACAGTGAGGAGTTTTGATTAATTCCTTACGAGTCCTCTTGTGGATCCCTGTCTGCAGTGGTTAATTGTGAGGGAAGCAAGTGCAACACTGACTTAAGGTAAAGCTGCTGAGCTGTACAGCAAGTAGTGTTAAGTGTCTGCAAAAACAAGGTTTCTTCGCTCCCATTCTCTCACCACATCGGCACCATAAAGGGTAAATAAATTCAGAGTCGAATTGGCGTTGCCTTTCCAAAGCAGCATTCCCATATGCCCTGATGACTTACGGCCAGTGAGTCAGCAAAACCTGCCTGGAAGGTCATGATCTTAGAGGTCAGAGCCTTTACCTCTCTGCTCTCCCTCAAAACAGGCTCAGCTCCCTGTAACCAGCCTTCAGGACATTAATATCCTGCCAGGAGTGTATTTTGGATTTAAAACTGTATTTTAATATAGGTGTCACCTACCATGCACAGAAGGTGGAGACAAAAGTCAGCAGCAAGATTTAGCAGAAGTCACTACTGCAAATCTGATGCCAGCTGAGAAACAGCCCAAAGGGTTGCAAGTATCATTTAAGGTGGAGGGCTGTTTGTGACCACAGTTTGAACCCCAGGATGAAAAAAAAAATTGGAGAATGCCTATTTTGGGGCCTTAAACCAGTGTTCCCTCTTATTCACAATACACCTAGACTGAAGCCTCTGTTAAAGTTGGAGGTACTTTCCAGAAGAAATATGGCTTTTGTACAGCAGGACCCTCACCAACACTAAAAAGATCCTTCTTTCACATCAGCAGTTCCAGAAAACTCTGACAGAGCTAAACTCTCCTTGTGGCTCTGGCCAGAGGCTGCAGAAGGTCTCCAGCACCTTTGATTCACAGGTCCCGCCGTGCTCGGGCTGCCGCAGCCGTGCCCCGTCGCGCGCGAATCACCAGAAATGCACTAATCGCCTCTTCACCCTCTAAGGAACTTGTGAACTTTACTACTACATTTAATACTTTAAAAATAATGCTTTTGCTATCAATTCTTTACTTTCTTGAGCTTCTTTTAAAGAGGAAGTTGTCAGCTCCATTTTTCCCTCAGCGTGTTTGAACACAGGTGTTGGTTACCCTATATTTCACACCAGGCAGCACATGTGCTTTTAGCCAAGGAAGGAAGGAAGGTACAAGGGTTACGGTGACATTTCTAGAAATAGAACTAGATTAAATATTTGAACCATGTCATGGGTGGTATTAATTGCCACACCATGTGATCCTGAGCGACATTTTAGAGAAATGGCAGAGTTATAGCTAAAGTTCACACAGGCTTATAATCACAGGTAATGTATATGCACGTTTTAAAGTGCTAAACCGTTTAGCTAATGGTATCACTGCAGTGAGTTGAACTTTCACGGGGTGGAGGGAGAAGCAGGCTGGGTTTTTATATTTGAGAAGCAATTCCTTTGAGTCATCCTTAGCCTGAGCTAAGCCTACAGATGCCAGTGGAAAGTTTTCTCTGCCTGTTTATGGAAGTTGCTGGCACCTTAGAAACATCTGCAATAAATGTCACAAGTGACTACATGCATGAGAGACCATTTTTAGATGCCCAGAAAACAGTTTCGTTGCTCTTGGTTTGCTGTATCACTCTACAGGTTCAGAGGATAAGATATAAATTAAAACATTAAATATCATAACGCAATATTGGTAGGGTTTTTTTCAGTTTCTCATAGCTCACCCTGAGCAAGACTCAGTTTTTTGACTAATCTAGGTTTAAGATACAGTCTCTGGAGTGCAGAAACAATGCCAGTGCAGACATCGTTCTAACTGTACCTTAATCACAGCATGGGATATCTCTATGAAAAACAGTTTTTTTCTCCTTGTAGTGACAGAGGTCAGTGAATGATTATAAAGATGTAACAATTTTGGGAAAAAAAAACCCAAATCCAAACTATGAATCTATGAATAAACTCACATGAATAGAGAAGACATGGAAAAGGCTGCAACTCTTCATAGATCAGACAACTACCCCTTAGTAACTACTCCTTAGTAACAACATGATTTTTGATTTGTATCAGCTGAAGGTCTGGCCAGTCAGACCTGACCTGGTGAGACTCAGAAGCTCAAATTCTCCTACCAAAGCCCAACCGAAGTGCAGGGAGTGCTTGCCCTTCTGAATCAATCCAACACTCTTTTACAATATAAAACCCTCACCTCCACAGTGCAGAGAGCTACAATAAAAATCACAAAAAACTAACTGAATTAGGGATGTTTTATCTGTAAACTTGTTACATATGAGCAAAGGGCCTTATTTTTCCTTTTCTTAGACTGTTACTTAAGGGTCAGCATTTGAAGCAGCTGCACAGTGGGCTGACACATTTTTTCCTGCCCTGAGTAGATATGCGAATCAATAAATTATAACCAAATTACACCACATCCCGTGGTGCTTTGAATTCATTTTTAATAACCCTCATATCCAAAATGCTACCCTTTGAGGTGAGAAAAGCAACATAGGTAGTTAAACTGACCTTGAAGCTGAAGGTAGAGACGTCCTGCTGCCTGCAGCGAGCCCAGAGTGTAAAGGGAATAACAAGTTGGTGCGCTGACAGGAGCCCAGGTAATATGAGAGGGGGGAAAAGGAGGTGAGGGAAACGAAAATAATTGCTGCAGTGGCCAATCCTATTTCACTGGGTTACACGGATGGCATTTGCTCGCACAAGGGTGCCCTTGAGGACGTAAGCGGGATGTGGCAGGAGTAACAGTTCGGTGACAGCAACATCATCTTTCAGACACTTCTCAAGGGGAAAAAAAAAACACTTCGGCAAATGGTTGGCCAGATGCTGAACTGCAACGCGAGGCACCTCCGCTGATTCACCCCCAAGGGCCCATTTAGTAACAGCCAAAAGAGAGCGGTCAAGAGCAGCTTCTGTGCTGGACTGCCTTGACTGCCTGGGAACCCCTCAGAGACACGGAGAGTGGGGTAAATCCACCTGCACGCATCCCACATGGAAACGGGTCAGAGCGGGGGACGGGGACCAGAGTGAGCTGAGATCACAGTGGGCATTCTTTTTCCCCCTTTACTTTTTAATTTGTGACAGTAGTTCTTGGCTCTTTGTAAAGCAGATGGGTCTAGAAATGTGAAATGTAAAAGGAGGATACCTGAAGCCTCCCATTTAGGAGTACTGTAGCTACACAGTGGTAAAGCACTGGCAAAAATAACATGTAATGGTTTGTAAAGCAAAAAAGAATAACCAATTTCATTCACCTAGCTCTGCTCCCACTGCAGCTGAATGCTTTATCGAGGCTGACAGAGGAACACAGAGGCCAGTACTATGCAGCTTTTAAAAATCCAAGACTTTAAAATGCTTTTTCATTTGTATATTTAATATTCCTTGAATTATCCATAGCAATTTCCTAAACCCAAATCTCAGATTTTTGAAACTTCACAAAACATAGACGTCTTGCACCCAGAATGTCATGACTTGTCTGAATTAATGAGAGCCATGCATGCCCACCATAATTCAAAACAGAACAGCCACTCCAGATCAATGCATCTGGACTACCAAGGAGTCGAAACACCCCCTCTCTACCACACCTGCTTTTTGTCAACCCAACACTATGTTTCTGGTATTGATAGGAAAAAATAAATCCAAATGAGGATCTCTTGAGGTAACATGAGTACAGAAATACGAGCACAATAAATCCACCCCTGTGCAGGGACTGGCAAAGAAAACAGAAACCAAATTTTCCTCTCGTATTCGGCAAGAGGTCCTTCGTGGCTGTGTCGCGTCTTTTGCCCCCGCTGTAAGCCCCCAGCATGTGTTTAATGCAGAGCTTTGTGTACGAACACTTCAGCGGTGGCCGCTGTCATCCCTTTGTCAGCAACGCAGCCCCCACGCTCCAGTTCAGCAGCTCGCGACCGAGGCACATACCTCACTTCAAGTTTTTGACTAAAGGCAGCCTTTTTCATAAAGACCTTAAAGAGACAAAGACCTTCACCTCGAAGGAGGTGATACCATGAACTGAAGTGCCGTGCTGCCTTATGCAGATGTTTAAGCTATTTGCCAGCTCAGAGCCTGGAAGAACAGAAGATGCAAACAAAACTCAGCCTGCTAGTTAACATCACAAACACCTGGCAAACAGTGTTAGCAAGTTCCCTTATGATTTCTGAAGAATGTATCATTAATACTTAAAAAATAGCTTGGTCTTACTACTGTTCGTTGATCTATTTTGTGAGGAACTCAGCTACAGAAACAGTTGGGTTGCTAAGAACCATCCATAAACAATGCCCTATTTCCATCTCTACCTAACCTAAATATTTATGTGAAATCTCCCAATTAAAATGCTGTCTTGGTTTCATTCCTTGTGCTGGGGACGTAGCAGTAGCTGAGCGTTACTTCAATTGCTATTCATATTAATGCCATCTGTCCCTGCACAGGGAGTTCAGCTGAAACTCAGCAATAATGCGTGCCCTGTTGGAGTTGTGGAAGCTGATGAACAGAGAAGCTACCGAACAGAGAACCTACCTATATGGACCTGATGATGGTAATTTGGTGTTTTGGGAAGGCCTTTCTGATTAGCACATTTCTTTCAAAGCAAATGTCTATAAAGTCAAATTTCTATATGTGGGAAATAATTTATTAGTAATCAAAGGAATCAGGACAGAAATTATAAGCCTCATTATTCTTACTTACTGTATGTATCAAATTAGGAATTAGAGGATGCCATGGTTGTTCTGAAGAGCTTGCAAGGACACTAATCACCAACTCTTCTGCTGTTGGAGTCAGAGCTCTGCTATTGTATAGATGCAAAGAGCCACTCCACACAATAACCGTATAAGCTAGCAGTCAGCTTGTCCCTGACGCAGTGGCAATCACTGGTTTTGAAGTTCAATGGGTCTTTAATTCTTGAGATTCCTAAAGAGAGACTTAGAATGCCGCGAAGCATACCATCTTGGGAAGAAACATAATTGTTTACCAAATGGTTACCAGACTTCTTTCTGAGATTTCTTTGTGACTGTAGATGTTCAATATCCACTTACATAGAGTATATGCAGTCACTGACATCTCAAACTGGAAAAACATTCTGTTTTGAGGTGGCATTCAACCACTTACATCCACTGAAGTTGATGGAATTTAAGCAAGCACTTGTTGCTAAGCATGGGCACAAATTCACCATGACCAAGTACGTAAGCAGGCACAGAACAGTCCTCCTGCAGTTATCATTACTCCAGAGAAAGGCACTTTGAGGTGCTAATACACGTCTACTAAATAAAGAGCTCAATTAGATCCAACCAACCTGTTAAAAATAGCCCCAGTTATTTTAAGTTATTGAAGTTGCTCTTCACAGGACATCCACTACATACTATAGGAAAGGTCCTCTATAATTAGCAGTGTGTTTTCTGGCCGAAGGGAGGAGAAAAGGTTTTCCTAAAAATGGAGCTGATCCTTTGGAAAAGTAGGAATATCCAAAATCCTTACAACAGAACCACATGGCCTTCAGTGGCATTGCCTAAAAAGTGATCACACTATTTTTGCCAGCTGTTTTGTAGACTGCATTGCACAGTATCACAGTACATATGTTTTTAGTTAGAGCGGAAGGACTAAAGGTAAGAGTTGTCTAGTGTAGATCATGCATGTGAAGGGGGCAACAATTCTGTTTCAGCCAATTTCAGCCCTTTGAAAACTTGCTCTTGTGTGACATTTTGGCAAAGCTTTTCTCTCATTAAAAAAAAATGAAAAATGAGTATTTGTATCTCACTGAAATGCTATTCTCTCTCAAAGGTATATGTTGAGAACATGATTACAAACAAACATTACTGCTTTTTAAGAGGACACTTTGGCATTCTCTGCTCTCCAACCCAGTGGAGGATATTCACTCTGTTCTGTTGCTGCTCCCACATGGCCAGCCACTGCTGGTGATGGAGACTTACAATCCAGCAGGCCATTGCTTTCTCCTCAAAACACATCCCAACTATGGATCTGGATCTCTAATACTAGCATTTCCACACGTGGGATTCTTAGTCCCCCCATAAAACAGTAGTGAAAATGCAGCGGTTAATTTAAAATTACCAAATGGTGAAATCAATCAGTTCTGAGATTGTGATTGTCAGGGAATTCAAAAGAGTAAGGACTAGAGAAACACAGCCAACAAACATATTCAGATATGTTGAACTCTGGACACCTTCCCTCTTTCCACCATGCTGATCCAGCATTTTTTGTCATGGAAACTCCAGCAGGTATGGTTGGAAAACAAAAAGGTGCTCTTTTTCAGATGGTTCTCTCATTGGAGATGAAATTTTAATAGTAAAAAAAATGGAATAAATAACATATTTAGATTTAGAACAGAATAGAAAGCATTGATAGGACTTTGTGTCTTCTCTATCTGGAAAAGTTACTACTTCTGATTTATGTGAAACATGTCTAGGATCTAGATGTGATTTATACATACTGTCCCCAATATGTATAAATGAAGATTTGCCAGAAGAGTAGCAAGAGAGAATACAAGCCTTTAGTCATAATTATTGCTCTGTTTCTGACCCATCCGTCTAGGCATGTGCACACCATGAACATTAGTATGGTATTGTGGTGTCTGATTCAAAGAGGCTTACACAGTGGAGTTGCTACCTCTAGGAAAACAAATTTTAAATGGCTTCTGCTAGTACACTTACCAATCCATATGTGCGGGGTTGGCTCCAGCAGTCAGGGAACTGGAACGAATGCCAGTGATTGTTTCAGTCCTCTTCAAAACTGGAAATTTCAAGGAAAAATCTGCTCTTCTCAAATTTTACTTCTTCTTAGTTAGGCACAGATAGGGCCAGGACATTTTAATATAACTTTCAAGGCATAGTTCAGTCTTCACAATTCTCATTCATTATCTTTGCACAATCAACCAAGAACAATTTCAGATTTTCTTCACAGACCTGAGATTTTGAACAGCCTGTTCCAGCTAGCTTCCCCCTCCTTCTTCATGGTAAAGATTAAAAAAGGTTATGTGCTGTCAGTTTTCCTTGGAGATTTGTTCATTTCAGTGAGTCTACCATTTTACACAGAGTATTTAGTTGTTTTCTTGCAACATGCTAAAAAGTAGAAAACAGCCATCCCCTGCTAAATACTTCTTAAACAACAATCCATGATCTTATCCAGTGCCCAGCAAGATTGTGGATCAGATCCTCCTGGAAAACGTGTCAAAACATGTAGAAGTCAGGAAACTGAGGAGAAACAACCAACATGGCAAATCGTGGCTGACTAATCCAATGGTCTTCTATGATGGAGTGGCCACAGTAGTGGACAAGGAAAGAGCTGCGGATGTCACCTAACTGGACTTCTGTAAGGCCTTTGACATGGTCCCCCACAACATCCTTCTCTCTAAATTGGAGAGATAGGGATTTGAAGGATGGAGTGTTAGATTGATAAGGAACTTCCTGGATAGTGGCGCCTGAAGAGTTACAACTAATGGCTCAATGTCCAAGTGGAAACCAGAAACCAGTGGTGTCCCTCAAGGGTCCGTACTAGGACCAATACTGTTTAATATCTTCATTACTGACATAGACATAGGATTGAGTGCACCCTCAGAAAC